CCCCTGTTTGGACAGATATCTGTCACCCTAGAATCACCCTACTTGTTAAACCCCAGAATCATAAAACAGAATATCATGTTTTCAGATCATCCATGGATCAAAGAGGATGGAGAAGCACCTGACACACCACTGGATAATGCTGTTCTTGACAGGCTCAAACAGTTCAGGGCTATGAACAAATTCAAAAAAGCTGCACTTCGGGTAATTATACTTTGGCTAGAATTTTCAACTTTTTCCTTTCATTTCCGTAGAATCGTCCTAGTGAGATCCTTTACACATATATGGAAAAATGAATGATTCATCTAGTTCAAATTGTTCTCTGATAATGGCCAGTCAGGACTATATTTCTTGGTTTTATATACATTGCCTTATTGTAGAGAAAAGTTAAATAAAAATGTATAATTGCAACATGCATGTCAAATTCCCTAATAGTAGGTTTGATTGGACAGACACGACAAGATTAAGAAAGAAAAATTAGTGGTATTGTTTTATCAGTGCTGTTAAGTATTGTGTAGCAGATATAATCCTAACGGTTTGCTGCTTTTGGACGGAGTAGGTTATTGCTGGTTGCCTGTCCGAGGAAGAAATAATGGGATTGAAAGTAATGTTTAAAGGTATGGATACTGACAACAACGGTACAATAACTCTAGAAGAGCTAAAGCAGGGACTGGCAAAGCAAGGGACAAAGTTATCAGAATATGAAGTTAAACAATTGATGGAAGCAGTAAGTTTCCAAAACTGAATGTTATTAAGAAGCATAAATTCTCATTCTGAAAGTACTATGGTTTATGTAGATGTAACAATAATATACTCACTATCTGTACGAAAAATTAGGCCGATGCTGATGGGAATGGAACGATTGATTATGAAGAATTCATTACAGCAACAATGCATATGAACAGAATGGACAGAGAAGAGCATCTTTACACTGCCTTCCAATACTTTGATAAAGATCATAGCGGGTAATTGTACAAGGACATTAACATTACACAATGATGATATGTCGATATCTATACATGGGAATATTGGTTAATGCTAATCTTGTGCTAATGTTTTTCTATATGATCAGGTATATTACAATAGAAGAACTCGAGCAAGCTCTTCGAGAGTTTGGAATGAATGATGGGAAGGACATAAAGGAAATAATTTCAGAAGTTGACGCTGATAATGTAAGCACTGAATCTCAAT